TCCGTTATGGTTTTTTTGCAAGGGCTGCTATTTTTTGATTTTTTTTTTTTTTTTTTCTACTGCTCTGTTGGAGAAGCATTTCTAAGTAGTAGGATTTTATCTGGGATTGCTCAGGGATTGTCTTTCCTTGGGAGGCCTGGGTTACAGAGGAGTATAGTAACCTGGAAAAATAAATAAGCTTTGGGAAATAAAAACCTTATTAAGAGAGACTGATCCCAGAAACTAAGCCACTCTTCTGGACTACAGGGTAACAACAGAGCTGATGAAAGCAGCTCAGTAAACCTCATTTCCCGCGCAGTCCTGTGGGGATATTGATTTTATGGCTTTTTGCTGTTTCCATCCAGCCTTACTGTACAAAGCACACAGCTCTCAGGTGAGAACTGCCTCTCCCTCTGTCACACAGGACTTGCCAGCTCTGCTCTTTCTCCTGCAGGTATTAACCGTCGTCTTCTCTCGACATGATTAAGCTAAACCTAGAGTCAGTCTTCCCGGTGGCACTTGCCCTGGAGTGGCAGTTTTCTGTTGCAGGTCAAAGGACTGTCCCAGAAGGCGTCTCCATTTGTGCTCCAGTTCCTCCCAGTGAGTGCTGCTGTTCCCCAGCAGGCTGCTCCGCTCAGCCCCTACGGCGGCTCCGCCGTGTTCCTCTCCCTGGCTCTGTGCCACGCTGCCACAGCCTGCAGAGTCCCCCAGCCCTGCGGTGTGTGAGGCCTGGAGCTTTCCTAGCGCCAGACTTCGGGGTCCCGAGGGCTCCCACCAAGGCCCCTGCGGCCACGGCAGTTCTGGCTGCACTGTGGGAGTGCCTGGGGTGGGTGGGCAGGACGGGCCCCTGGGGAGCCTGCAAAAACTTCAGCCTGTCCAACACCTTCCTTTGGCTACGGGACAGCCGTGCTCCCCGCAGGGCCCCTCTGGCTCCTCTGGACTTGCCGAGGGGACGCCGGGGCTGCTTCAGTCCGGGACCCTTCTCTGGCACTCTGAACAGTCCTGTCCTTGCTGACACCTGTGGCTTCCCCTTCGCCTCGGGGAGACGGTGGAGGGGTGACCTCAAGTGGCAGAGCACGATAAGGACCACCGACACCCAGCGGCTTTGCCTGCCCGAGGTGGGCTGAGACCCCCAGGGCTGGCAGCGTGTTCTCAGCCTCTCTGGCTCCAGCGTGCATTGGGGCAATTTCTCAAACCTCTTGGTGAACACACATGAAAACGAGAAGCTGAAGCTGCATCTCCATCAGCACTTTGGCGGCTGCTCTGGCCCAAGCCCTCCCTGGGGACACCTGGACCTTCTTTCATATCTCTAGCATGCCCTTCCCTGCTGCTCCTGAGCGTGCTGGTAAGACAACTCATACTGCCAGGCACTGAATCTAATTGGAGAATTGAGCCAGGTTAAAAATAACTCAACATGAAGTAAAAAAAACCAACCACTTGCTAAAGAAAATGCAAGTGGAACTACAGCTTGTGATTCCCTCAGCTTCTGAGTGGAGCAGTGGAGAGAAAGAACAAGCCATTATTAGAGGAGTGTGCAATTATTGGTGATGCAAGGCAGAGTTAATCTAACACTAAGAAATAAAAGGAGGACATCCAAAGGAATAAGACTTCAGAAAAAAAAAGCTGGGTGGGTGGCAGCAGCGAGGCCGCCCCTGTCCGCAGCCTGCACCTCGGCACAGGCTGTTCTGTTCCCATGGGCGCAGGGGCAGGCTGGGAAGTTCTCCAGCAGTCTGAGTCAGTGGCTCGCTCTGGGGCTCACAGCCTAGAAAAGTGCTGGCTCTCTGTCTCTGGAGGGTTGCTGAAGCTGTGGTGATGGGGTGGGCTCTGTGGTAGGGCTTTTTGTAGTGGAAGCTGCTACCTAGAAGCAAGCAGTGTTTGATTTTACCTGGATGCCTCTTCTGCTGCCAAGAAAAGTTACTGTCAGAAGCCTGTCTGCTTGTCACGTTCACATGAAGGGGCCTGTTGTGGCCACGGGCACTTTGGGTGCTGCACATGCCGTTTGACATCTGAATTCAGTTCAGCAGCTTGCAAGGGTCCTGCCTCCCTCCCAGCGTCACTGGCTCATA